AATGACTTCTATAGTAAAGTTTACAGCTATCTCAGGAGTTACAGGCCAAGATCCTCTATGCTATATTCTCAGTATTGACAGCTATTGTTTGCTTCTTGACTGCGGTTGGAACGATGCCTTTTCTATGGACATTATGAATAAGTTAAAAAAGTAATTGTTTTTCAATGGACATTTAAAAAACTAGTTGAGTGAATTAATTGTATTTAGTCATATTCCTCATATCGACGCCACTCTTGTTTCTCATCCTGATTTAAATCACCTTGCTGGGCTTCCGTATGCAGTTGGTACCACTTTAAAGACTTGAGTTAAAAAAAAAAACTTATATAGTAAAAGGTAAACTTGGCCTAAACTGCCCGATATACTCCACTTTACCCGTTTATGAAATGGGACAGATGTTTATGTACGATTTTTATGAAGTAAGTTTTTATTTTAGTTGAACCTTAGATAGAAATTCTTTATTATATCCTTTTACAGTCGCACAGTCTTTTTCAAGATTTTGACGTTTTTGATCTCGATGACGTTGATGCTGCCTTTTCGCTTTTCCAGCCGCTTAAATATCAACAAGTTAAACTGCTTAAAGGTTGTTTTTGCTATTTATATTTTTTCCTTTCTAAATTCTTCTAGCTTTTATATTTCATTTAATTTAAAAGAATTTTTTTATTTTAATATTCACCTAATTTCTTTTAAAGTTATTGTTAAAGTTATTCATATTTTCCGCCTATTAAAAAGTACGTAATACTTGAGTTTGTGTGATAGCAGTTATAAACTTTTTACGGTTTTGAAATTTTAACCTTCTAGTTTTTTAATAGGAAAAGGATCTGATTTAGGAGTACGCCCCTTAAATGCTGGTCATCTACTTGGAGGTTTCTAAATTGACGTTATATTAATTAGTTGCGTTTATTTATTATTTTAAAATAAATTGTACCTTCTTTGTTTTGTTTGTATTTTTAACTTATTTTTTTTTTTGTAAAGTTAATTCGTTATACTAATGTTTAGGGGCTATTTGGGTTATAAATACTGATCAAGAAGAATTTGTATACGCCGTGGATTTCGATCACAAGAAAGGCAGGTAATAGTAAAGCTATTAATCATATTTCAATTTAATAAATCATTGTTTGTTTCAGACTTTTACAGGGAGCGGATCTTCTAAGACTTATTCGTCCATCACTTTTAATTACCGACTCAGTTAATGCGTTGATCAAAGTTATTCCAAAGCGTGACACTCGTGAAAAAGAATTGATGGGTTTATCATAATTTGTGGAAAATTTAAATTTTACTGGAATTAGTTTTTGGAGCCAATTTTTATTGATTTGTAAAAAATGATATTATTACAGAGCGTTAGTAATTTTGTTTAAAAAAAGTTACTTAAATAAAAAAAGTTAGTTTATATGTATTTTATATAGATGGAAATGTTTTTTTATAGTAACACCCTTTCATAATCACTTGAAGTTATTAATATTAAAAGCATTCTATTATAATTATAAAAATGCTAACTTTTTCTATATGATTTTAAATTTTTTTATACCTAAATAGATTTTTCAAAATTTTTTATTGTATTACTTAAGTAACAATATTTTATAGTCTACTGAACTTATTACAAGCAGATTTTATTACAACTTTACTTTCTTTAGTTTCAAAAATGTGTGATTAAAAAGTTAAGGCTTAACTGATATTTTATATTCAGTTGTTAAATTCTTAAATTTATTTTTTATAATAACAATATTTTGTAGTCTACTGAAGTTATTAAAAGCAGACTTTATAAGGATAATAAAACTCTTAACTTTTTAGATACTATAATGAATGTTACTGCGAAGAATGGAAATGTTTTAATGCCGGTAAGTCGTTTATAGGGTTTTTTTAAAAGTTCTTGCTTTTATTTTTAAGGTTACTTTGTATTATTCCCTTTTTTTTTAGATTTTATTTATAAGTAGTTCTAAGATTTTTAATTTAATGATGCTCTTCTTTTGCTTTAGCTAAAACGTTAAATCTTTTTATCTTGTACTTTTTCTGTTTATTTTAAATAAATAAATAAGTTAACAATAATTTTTCTTGCTGAACTACATGTCATTATCCAATTTTTGCTTTTTGATAAATAAGATTTCTTTTAAGCTTGGATAACCAATTAGTAATGAAATTTAAAATAGTTTTTCTGTAACATTTTGTTTCATACTTTTTGGACAATTTATGTAATACTACTTTTATTGGTTAATGTATAGTTCTCATATGTAAGTTTTACTTCATTATTATTATAATCATTATTTTTTATGCATTTTAGGTTGATACGGCCGGAAGAGTGTTAGAACTTTGTCTTATTTTTGACCAATTAAAACCGGCCTTGTTGAAGCAGTACAAGCAACAATTCAAAGCAAAAGGCGCCAATAATATAAAGTTCATACTTGTTTATGATTGGTTTAACTGTTAAAACTTGAAGGCGATGCTTTTGATGCGGACTTTACGGTCGTTTGGCTGAACACGCAGGTCGAACCCATCTTGAAGTTTGCTATGTCGACTTTGGGTTTATTATCATTATTATTATTATTAATACTACTACTACTATTATTATTATCATTTTACTTGCAGAATGGATGAATGACGATCTCGTGAAAAATTTTGAAAGTTCCCGAAGAAATCCTTTGGATTTCAGAGCAGATAGAAACATCAGAGTGGCCGGTGATGATGCTACTGTTACTATTTTTATGCTTACTATTGTTATTATAATCTAAGTATCACCGGAGGATCTAAGAAAACTTCGTGGCCCTTTAGTCGTTTTGGCCACTCAGGATTCCTTGAACACAGGATTTGCTAAAGAAATATTTGTCGGTTAGCAGTCTACTTATCATTATTATTATTGTTATTGTAATTATTATATAAAAAGAATGGGCAGAATCGGAGGCGAACGCTATTATTTTTACCAGTCGACCATTTGCGCATACTCTCGCTTATGAGCTTCTTGTTCAGGAAAAAAGATCCCTTACGCTTCTGGTTTCAACCTTTTTGGCCTTTTTCCCATTGTTTATAATTATAAATTTAGATGAAACGAAAAGTTTCTTTAGAAGGCGCAGAACTTGAATCTTTCATAAGCGAACGAAGAAAGGAAATTCAGAAGCGAAAACTTCTCGAAGAAGAAGAATCCGAGAGACGTCGATTGGAGGAAATGGTTTGTGACTCTTTTACTCGTAGTACCTAGTTAAATTTATTCTTTCATTGGTTACTTATGATATATTTGCGTCCAATATGTGTGCCTTTTTGGTGCTGCTCGTCAAGTTTTAAGTTAATATCAGCTTTTAAGGCGCCAGTCTTCCGTTTTCTTTCCTGTCTCGTGTATTGGAGCGTACAACGTGCTTTGCCCTTTCTGACTAGCCAATAGGGTGCCGAGCACAACAGGCTGTCCGGGGGAGTTTGATAGTAACTGTCTCATATATATTCTTAAGGATGTGTTTTTACTTTGTTAGGCGTATTCCGATAAATATTTATGTACGTAACAAATATAAGCTTTTTTTTTATTTTTATTAAATAAAGTATATTATAAAAGTATAACTATTGTATTTTAGGATGTGGATCAAGAAGATAATGAAAGTGAAACAATCGATCCTTCACTTACTATAAAGTATTTTTCCTTATGATATTTTAAAAAAAATTTTTTAATATAAACATTTTCGCCAGACACGATCTCTTTCTCGATTCAAGTTTATTATCAAACTCTTTTCTTTCTAAGGTTTACGAACAAGTTAATAATATGATTTAAACAGCATTATATAAATAATAAAGAATAGCAAAGTATATTAAAGTTTATTAATATATAATAGTAGTTGTTATGTTTTAGAAGTACTAACAAAGAAAACTTTTAACGTTGTAGTTAGCAATATTATTTAATAAGGGAAGTCGCATTCTGATGTATCCATGCATCGAGCCAAAAGTCCACGTGGACGACTACGGAATTGTTGTTCGAGTGGAAGATTTACTGCATTCTGCGGAGAAACACGCCTCAAACGTTAAAGCTCTTTTGGAGAAGAAAAAAACCGAAGAAGATAATGAACTGGAGAGGTTTCTTTTCTTAATAAATTTATTATTATTATGATAATATGGATAACCAGAATGCTAAAGGAAGAAGCTAAAAGGTGTATTGAAGTAAAAGTGACGATCAATGTTTCTGCTCAAGTTTATTATTTATTATTTATTATTTAATATTTTATTATTTTATTATTTTTATTTTTATCCTTAAAGATTTTCATGATTGATTTTGAATCTCGTTCGGATGCACTTTCTATTCTTGAGTATCTTAAGCAAATATCTCCACGGCAAACTGTTACTTTGCACTATTCATTATCTCTTATAAGTATTATTCACGAGCGCTACAGATACTAATCAACGGCTCCGAAGAAAGCAAAGACTCTTTTGTTCAGTATTTTTTGTCCAATCCTAAAGAGTTTGGCCGCGTGTACGTCCCTTCTGGTAATTTTATGTGTATAGCAATTAAAGCGTCATTAAAGTCATGAAAGTATTGAGTTTTTTTCTTATGTTTTATAAAGTTTTTAAGTATATATTTTTTGGTATAACTGTGGTTCGTCGTTGCTCTACTTAATTTTTTTGCTAAAAGTTGGAATTTATTAAAATTAATTAAAACATGCACGAAATGCACGATTTTATTTAAAAAAAGTATTCTCTTTATCCTTTTTTGCTTTTTTTAATATTATTTTTATTAACAGTTTCTTTTTTGTCTGTTTATTATATTTTCTACTACTTGCATGGCTTTAAGTATAATTTGCACATTTTTTGGGCCTGCAGTGCGAAATCCATGTTAATTAATCAGTTTAGAGTTTCGTATTATATCTACACGGGATGGTTATTTTGACACTTTCCGACTATAAAGGATGTTTTTTTTAAACAGGGAGCGAAGCTAATATTATTAAGCAGTCATTTGTTGCTACATTTATTTATTAATTTTATATATAACTTTTATACCTAATATGATTACTTTTTCCTTTATATTTACCATTTTCGTATAATATTTACTAATCATATTATATTTTACAGAAAACCAAACGGTCGATGTGACTTCTGAATTAAATATATATCAAGTATTTTAGTTTAATATGTTTATCTATAATTTAGGTTGTAAATAACTTCTTATAGCTGTTGTTTCTGTAGTCTTTTAGTAATATTATATACGAATATAAACAAGCATTGATAGAAACTTTTTCTAATTTTTTTTTCAAGGCTACTCTTACGGATGAGCTATTGAGCCGCATCGCTTTTCGTTCCGTGAGACTTTTATATATATTTTTATATAAACGTTATATTCTTTCTTTTAATGAAGATCACCTACGGATCTGAAGAATTCGAACTTTGCCATGTGGACGGCGTCATCCGCATGGACACCAACCCGCAAGCGGTCCCCTCATTGGAACCCGGTACTTCTCTATACAATAACAAACAGTATTGTGGATCAAATATATTACTAGCAAGCGTTGAGTCTGGTCATAACTCAGTGTTTGTTGGGGAGGTTATACTGTCTTCACAAAATTTTCACGATCTTCTGAAAGCCAATGGCATCGAGGTATAAACTCTTGTGTCAGTAGTCAATATATTTGTGAAAGGCTATATAATAAACAGACCAAATTTGTGGATGGCGCTTTAGTGTGCGATGAGTTGGTCCGCATACGGAAGGCATTCTTTTGAAAAAATTATTGTTTCTTGTTTTACTTTATATAATACTTGTAGCGTTTACAGTTGTATATTTTTTTAGAATTTATATTAGTTTAATAATATATATGTAACGGTTTACAGCTATATGAGATATATGTGAATATTATTTTTTCTTTACTTTTTTTGTCGTCTAATATATATTGTATAGGAGTGTGTTATAAATTACTTTAGTTTAAACTAGAATCAAAATTTATTTTTATTATAAACAGGAAGAAGGAGAAATTATGCTGGAGGGCCCTGTTTGCGCTCGTTATTACCAGATTAAAAATTTATTGTATTCTCAGTTTGCTATTGTTTAGAAATTGATTGTCAAATTTTTATAGAATGTGAAATAAATAAATGTATATTAGTTTTAAGTCCTTCAAAGATTTGTATATTCTTTTTTTTCAAAAATCTACTTACTTTTTTAGCCGTTGTATGGCCACGTATTAGTAAATTTCCGTTAACAAGTGTTCTAAAAGATAGCGTTTACCCAAGTTAGGAACGTTATAATTTCTTAGCAAGACAAAATTAGTTTTATATAGACTTGATAAAAAAGTTTCTCTTCTTTTAGCGTTTGAGTTCCTTTTTGATTTGGAAAAATAGGCGATTTTGTCAGTGCCTTTTCTTGCAAACTTTTACTTATCCGCCTTTTTTTGTGTATAAAAGCTCATCAATAGTATAATTTTAGGGAAATGCGAAGTATAAAAAGTGTAGACCACATTTTGCATTGCTATCGTTACTAATTAAAACCAAAAAATTTTAATTAAGATTTAAAGTGAAAAAATAGACTTTAAACAAATTGTTAAGCCTCTTCAGATTTTTATTATATAATAAATAAATACAATCTCGACTATCAAGCTGTTCGTCGTCCACAATAACAGCCGTCACAGTAGTTCCAAGACTTGCGCTTAATTTAATCAGTTTAAATGTTTAATTTGTGGCCATGGTGTTCGTTCTTCGGTCGTTTTAATTTAGTTTAATTAAATATCAAAGTCAAAACTTAAAAATACCCCACCAAGTTTTGAGTTATATAAACTCAGCAATGTTAAGCAAAAGTGTAAGTAAATAAATAATCTACAACTACTTTTACCGAGAACAATAGATCCGCAAATATTCTATAATTTATTAGGTTCAAAAGAAAGATCTTTTTTTTCCCATAAATGCTTTAATAGTAACGGGCTTTCTTTATTGGGTTGAATGGAACTTTTCATCAAGCACAGCAAAAATTAGAGATATATTTTTCTCTTTTTACAGGACAAAATACTTATAAACAACCCGATATTTGTACGTTGCTCGCCCTCCAAACTTTTTTTTTTTAAATAAGCATTCTTTTAGTAAATATAAAAAAAAAAGAGGCGCTAATTTTTTACAAGTTTGATAATAGCATAGAATAGTTAAAGTTATAAACTATTTACTGATTAACTCTTCAGTATCACCAAGTATTCTATGCTAGACTGAAGGCCTTTATCTTTCATAAGGTTTTAATAAAAAAATTCTCCAACAAGTAAATAAGCACGAGAGTAACCAATCAACTGAGAAAGTTTAAACTAAAAGAAATTAGAAATAGTTAAATTAATATTAACTTTTAGATGCTTTTGTAGTTCTACAATACTATTCTCTAGGCGACCAGTTATATTTTACATATACTTTATATAAGAATATGTACGCAGGCTGGGATCAGTTCAACTTTGACCCAACTTAAAATTCGACCCAAACTAAAGTTGTACACTATCTTTTACTGCGTGATTAGTTTTAATATGTAATTTTATAAAGTTAACGAACCAGAAGCGCAAGAGAATAAAGTCAACAACGCAGTACAAAAATAACTAAAATTGCTTTATAAAAGTTATAAACTCAGCACTAAACATTTTGTTCTACAGACTATTAATTCATTTTATAGAGTATAAATTAAAAGTGTAGAGAAGACCCAGCTAACAAGTGTAGATGGTAAATATACATGTGCTAGAATATTTGTTGGCTAAAGTAGTATAATATATAAATTAGTTAAGTCTGAAAAATTTAGTATTTTAAATAGATTTAAAAGTGAAGAGCAGGAAGACTCACGTAAGACGAGCTAAAGTCTATTAAAAAACTAGTAAAGTACATTTCTATATTAGACAAAATATGGAGTTGAGTTTTTATTAAAGTGCGGAAAGAAGAGAAAGAAATCTTCTTGGTGAAGTGAGCACCAGATTTGAAATTTTGCATAGTCACTCAGTCGAATGGTCTAATAATAATAATGATCATTAGTGATAGTAATAGTAATTATAATAATAATAATAATGTTGTAAAGATTGCAATGACCAATCGTTTCTGATCGAGTATATATGAAGTGACGTTCACAAAATATTAACATCCCAAAAAATAGAAAAATTAACCACTTGCCTTATATAGGCTGGGGCTTGCTTTCTGCTGAATGATTGGGTCCGCATGTCTCTTTGGCGTATACAACTCGTCCGATTCGACCATTTCAAAGCCGTTCTCTATTGGGACTGTCCAATCCTCACCGAACTTTGTGCCGACACGAAGAGAAATGCCCGATAATGTTTTTTTCAAAGCCTCTTCCGTTTTTTTCCCTTTTTAAAGTCATAATAAGGATAAAATAATAATAATAATAAACAACCTCCTCTCCACTTTCTCAATAAGTACGGAAGAAGTTTTTTTAAAAGTTTATAGCAATAATAACTAATCTCGTCATTGTTTAAGCCAACAAGCTCCAGAAGTGTTTTCTTTTGTAATAAAAAATTAATATTATTATATATATCTTAAAAAATATACACAATTGTTTATTATTTTCTAATGTTTATAGGAATCTCTTCGAGTTTATTTATAAATGTAGATATAAAGTATATTTAATGAGATATATTTATTGTATATTTTAATTCCCCCCCCCCCCTAAAAAAAAGTTATAAAGTTTAGGAAACCTCAAGTTTATATTTTATTAAAGTATTTTTATCGACTGCAGCGGCGTTTGTTACATATTGAAGTATTCTTAAAACAGTAACAATAACAAAATAGTTTCTCCAGCACGTCTTCGACTCCTCCGCTTTTTTATTGGGTAATAATACAAAATAAAAGAGTATTTCCTTGGAAACTTTTAAGATTTCGATAAATAATAAATATTTAAAAAAATTGTAATATATATAAAAGCTACACGAAACAAGAGATTTTCTAAAAAAATTTTATATAAATAAAAATATTAATGAAAAATAGTTAATATATATATATATAAACCTGATAACTTTCTTGTATTGTATGAATAATAATAAAATATTTAATATAAATATACAAAAAAAAACATAATAGCAAAACTTTATAGTGGAGAAAGTTAACTTCGACATACCATCCGGACTCCAGTTGTGGGACTGAAAGTTATATTTTGGTAGAGAGAAAAACCTATCGGGTTTTTCTTATAAATTGGACGTGTTTTATGCTTATCGAGCTCAATATATATAAGACAACTCCATTTTGTGAATATTATTATTAGAATAAATGCACGTGCGCCAGTTCTTCAAAATCATGATAAGAAGCAGAAGTCCGTTATCAGCAATAATTCTTTCCGATAAATATTCGTATTCATGTAAGTCTGCCATTAAAAAAGTTGAAAAGAAAAGAAATTAAAAATGATGAAGCACATTTATGTTAACAGCTTTAATAAAAAAAGAATTAATAATATTATTAAACGAGTATTGCAGAGAATAATATATAAACTTCTTCTGTACAAGTTTTCACTAAAAAAATAAGGATATCCTTTCATACTATAAATGAAAATAAAAAAGGTCAACAAGGGGAGTTTATTTATATATATTATTAAAAAAAAAAAAAAAAACGAAGCCTTCTTGCTTAAAGTGCTCGAGTAGAGTAACAAAGATAGCCGATACCGCCTAGACAAAAATATATGGTTTTATAAGTGATTAATATATATACTGTAAAAATATAATAAACGCACTTAACATGAAAAAGAGGAACTTTTATAAGGAAACTGCAAATAAATAAACAAAAATTATAAAGTAAAGTTATATATGATAGAAATATTAACATTCTTGAGTCAAAATAAATAAATAACAAAAATAAGTATATAAATTGTTATATTCATTTTAAAAATAAAAAATGAATTTTAAGTAAAGTTTTATATATTATAAGTTTTTATATATAAAATATTTAAAAAAGTAGTATATTTAACTAGACATTATTATAAAACTTGTAAAGTAATTATATAAAAATATTAAATACATAATAAATATGTGTACTAATAAATAAGTTTAAACTTTCAAATTATAAGTAAAAGTATAGCAAAACAGGATATATATATACAAAAGTAATAAAGTAACGCATAACAGTTCACAGATAAATAAGTAAAAATAAGTAGAAGATATAAAAGTTATATTAAATAAGTATAACACGAATACATAATAAAGAAAAAGTTTTAAAAGTTTCTAAAAATAAATACAAAATTTTATTCTAATAACTGAAAAGTATTAAAAATCATAAAAGTAAGCAAATCAAAGATATAATTTTTTTTTGAAGAAGTTTAATAATTAAAAAGTCCTGTAATAATAATAATAATTAAAATAAATAATACTGGCAGGCAATAAATAACATTTAGTAGAAAAAAGTTAATAAAAGAAAAAGTATAAAAGAAGTTTAATATTTAAATAAATAAATAAAAAAAAACTAATAAAATATAAGTACTATAATTGTTTAAAATAATACATGAAATTTTGAAAATGTTAATAAATAATAAATATAAATACATAAAATTCAATAGAAGAATAGAACTAACCATATAGAAGTTAGCAAGAAATAAATATATATAACAAAAAAATTATTTATAATATTAATAAAAGATAAATCTAAAAAATTTACTTTTGTTAGTATTTCTTTATGCCTCAACGCATCTATAAGTTTAGGAGTTGTAGAAGACATTGACTTTGACTTGGAAGGGCCTACATATTATAATAATATTTTTACTTCCAAGTAATTTCTAAAATATTTTTTACGAAACAAATATATATGTAACAGATTCTTTAATAACTTTTTAAATTATTTTTCATATTTATATTAATTAATAATAATAATAAACATAATAATAACAATAGGTATAACCCCAAGAAAGAAAACCGAGAATTCTAACACTACCAGGACTTTTTGTGTTTGGTTGAGAGGCCAGCATTATTTTTAATAGTAAAGTTATAAAAGAAGGAAGTTGGGGTGATAGAAAGTCCTTATAATGATCATAATAATAGTAAGAGTAATAATAATAATAATAATAATAATAATAATAATAATAATAATAATAGTAATAATAATAATAATAATAATAATAATAATAATAATAATAATAATAATAATAATAATAATAATAATAATAATAATAATAATAATAATAATAATAATAATAATAATAATAATAATAATAATAATGATACCATAAAAGCTCGAACTTGTGGGTCAGTAACTTCATTGTTTTTGCTTTTATATAGTAATAATACAATAGTATAAATAAAAAATAATAAAATTAATGGAAAAACCTGAAGTTTAACTTTTTTTTAAGTAAGCTCCTCGCCTCTTGAATGGGAAGAGGAAACATATTTTCTTTATAAAAATAATATTTATTTAAATAAAAAAAATTCAAGATAAAAAAATTTGTTAAGTAATTGTTCCTAACAATGTCAACTAAAAAAAGGGTGAAAAAATATAAAAATATAAAAAACAGGTAACCGGAAGTGAAGGAAGCCGAAGAAAAGTTAAAATAATCGTAATTTTTTGTTTCGGTCTTCTTGAAAAACTTGTAAATATCATCCAAATTAGCCTTCACTATTTATTTTATTATATATATATTATACTTATTAGTTTTTGTTGTTGTTACTATTTATTTATTTACTTTTTATATTCACACTCTTCTCTGTTTATTTCTTATTATTATTAATTACATTGCCAACGAGGACGATCCTTTACTCTTAAGGAGTAATGATGGCTTCGATGCTTGCAGGTGCAAGGAGAGTTCGGTTCTTCCTCTATTATATCATTACCATTTTCAGTATTACTATTACTAAAATCATTATATACCAATATTTTCTCGATAAAACTTTCCCTTATTAAAATTTAATAAAAGTAACCTCCACAGAAGTAATAAAAGCTAAAGTTATAGTGAAATATTTTTTATATTGAAATATGCCAATGAAAAAACAGCTTTTCGAAAAGGAAATAAAGACTTTGTTGATTGGATAAGATTGCGCTTCCGGTTTATGATAGTCCAATAGGAGCTCCGTTACAACTTCTCTCGGTGATAAATTTAGGTATATTGGCTCTTCTAGTATGATAATAATTTTTTTATTGTAGTTTAGTTAGAAATGATAATATTAAATAGCACGTAACACTTAACAAATAGTAAATATTGCTTTCCACAAATATTAATAAATTTTTTAATATGTACATAAAATAATTGTGTAATAATATATTGCAAGAGTATGAGTAAAACTTTAAAAAAAATATTAAATATTATTTCGCAATCACGAGCCTTAAATTGTTTAACTACTTTTACTATAATACATGAATTAAAAGAAATAGTATTCTGATAACTATCATTTTACTTCCTTATATAAAAAATTTTTGGTGTAAATTATATATTAGTATATACTAATGATAATAATGATGATAAAGTACAAATAATAAAAAGTAAAACATATATATAATATTATATTTATTATATATATTCATAAAACGTAGAGTTAATTATAATATAAAAGTAAAAAAGACGTACTGCAGTCTTTTTCAAGTAGAGTTCCGCAGAAAATTAGCATATTATAAACTAAATTAAGAAATACGCGCAAGTCTTTCGAGTGGTACTTGGAAAAGTTCGACGCGGACTTTTTGATTTGGCTTAAAATTTTCGATATAATTATTACTTTTAAACATTAAGAATAAAAGTAGTAAAATTATTATATAATACAAAAATAGTGTAGAAGAAATCGGAGTACTTATTATATTTTTTCTTATATTATTTATATTTTTCTATAAAAAATTAATACAATAGTAATGAAATTCTTTTTTATCTCTTTTATTAATATTATTTATTATTTTAAAATAAAAATAATAAAAAACTAAAATAACTATAAAATACTAAAATATAAAAAATGTATTATCTGGTTTATTATTTCTTAAATCATTAAAACTAAAAAAAAACTTTGATATGATTCTAAAAAAATAGTGTTGGAATAAAATAATATTTATTTCTTTATTCTTATATTATCTCTTATTATAAAATAATAATAATAGAGCTATATAAAAAAAATAGCATAATAAAAGTACTATTTTAAACAACTTCACTACTAATGTATTACACGAAGTTATTATGATAACTATAATGAATAAGTCATGGTTAACCATATTTTAAAATTACATATTAAACTATTATATATAATAGTTATTGGGATTTTTATTACTGATTCATATTATTATTACTATAATAAAAATATCTTTTTAAGTTTGATAATTAAGTGATTTTCGTGAAAACTATTTTTGGGGTATTCTTTAAAAAACTGGTGAATACTCATGCAAAAGTTACCAATTTCAAAAATCGGTACAAAGTTGCAATTTTACTGGCTTTCATAAAATAAATACAAGCGCCGGCTAAAAAAAATTTATAAAGACATTGGTCATCTAAAAAAAGGCCGTCAACATGCTTTTCACGGACTCAATTGTTCATGAGTGGTCAATAAAATCTTCCAGTTTGTTAAAATTTTATACAAAAAACTTTTTACAAAACTTTTAGAAGCACAATTTATTTTTATTAATAGATTATTCAATATTTTTCTTAAATACTCGACAATTATATGTATTAGTTGAAACTAATAAAGAATAGCAAAAGCTTTAAAATAATGTTTCATATTATCAACTCTTTAAAACCTCCTAAATAACTTGTCATAAAAGAGTTTACGCGTCTGACAAAAAGGAACTTTTAGTTTTTATCAAGTGTATATAAAATTTGAGTAGTACTTTTAAGATTATTTATAGATTTATACTATTTATACTGTAATAACGAAATTATTTTACGTTGCATTTCTCACAATTTGGGCAAAAAAAAGTTGTAAGCCTCCGTTTTCAGCAATCAGCTGATTGTTTGAAGTCATCGTATCCAAAAGTTCTCTCGTGTTCTGAGCCTCGTTAAAGACTCCTGTTTCGTTAGTAAATAATAAGTATAACAACAAAATCTAAATATATAGTAAAAGATCCTAAAATCATACTTGTAATAACTTCTCTGCTAAAAATATAGATATAAATTTACTACAGTGTTTTAAAATTATTATAACGATAATGATTTACAAAATATTACTTTTACGTGCGGTAATAATCACATTTTATAATAATAGTATAAAAAGAATTTTTAATCAATATATAAAGCAAAAGAGGAAGTCACCTAGCGATATATAAAGAAGGATCTGAGCAGCACGCCGGCATTTGGCAAAACTGCAGGAATCCACTTCATTAAGTAAAGTAGAGATGTAGAAGCTTCGATCTTCCAGACTGCACTCACGCCAGTTCGACGCTTAAAATTTATTTGAAAAGTTGTGAGAAGTTTAATATTGGTAAAAGAATATATTGTAATTATAAGTATTTATTATCAGCGTACAAAAAAATTAAATTGTATGTTTTTAAATTAATAATAACACTGAAAATAAGATGCAACTAAATAAAAAAAAGTTACTTATAGTAAAGCTCGTTTCGAATAAGTGGCCTCCCAGCTTAAGCTCAGGAATTTCAAGATAGGAATAAAATTCATTGAGTTCAATAGTTAGAGAGCCTCGATCAAAGTAACTATAGCCGAGTGAATCTGATTGTAAGTTGCTATCTTCTTTAGTAGCCGTACTATGGTGATTCTCTGAAGCAGAAGTCACTTTAAAGAAGAAAGAAAAGTCAGAAATAATGAAGTAAAAGTTAGCTTAAATAAATAAAAATAATAACATACTCGGAGTTCCCTCACTTTTGGCTAGTTGCTGAAAAATCGCTATCTGTATTCATAAATAATATACGTTCAAATAAGGAATAAAAAGTGAATTATAAGTGTTTGTTTTCGCCTTAGCAGAGGTGGTTACTGGCTCATTCATCTCCGATTTGAAAAGTAAAAGTTTAGACAATCAGAATTTGTTTATAAAATAACCTTTTGTGAAAAGGTAGTGTAGAGTAAAAAGAGCTATATAAGGTGAATAGTCTTTTTATAAAGCTATAAAAATTTAAACTAAGTTTAAATAGGAGAAGAGTAATATAATTGTTATATGAATAAGAAAATAGTTGGTATTAATCTAGTAACTTATTAATAATATAGAATAATACTGCTTTTAATTAAGATAAAAGCAGTATTCCTAAAAAAAAATTATAGAAAATAAAAAATAAGGGATATAAAGTAGAGGTGCCTTTTATTCAGCAAAAGATTTTTGTAGTGTAGCGTAATGGACGGTGATAAAAAGATTAAAAAAATTTGATACTTAAGAGCCTTGTAAGGCAGCTTCGCTGAGTTTTATTGGTAAACGAGTAGAAAATTAACAGTGATTCATGAATGCGCTGCTGTTAGTGGTAAAATATTAGTCATTAACAATATAAAAGGGTATCCGTGTAAGTACTAAAAGTTTTTGTGGGAAACTGCAGGGATCCCTCAGGGACCAATCCCCTCGCCCCTTTCATTTGCAATTTACATGAAGGACGTGCCCTTGCTGTCCGACTCCCCTCCCCTACACGAATCGACCTCTACGCTGATGATACGCCCGTATATCCCTCTTCGAAGTCTCTCGCCTTGCTATATTGATACCTTCCAGCAGTTTGTTGTCCTTAAATTGCTCAAACTTTATACACTATTATGTATTTTAAAGCTGGACCTCCGGTTTAAGATTTTTGCATATTAGGCCAAAAACAATTTTTTTATATCAGTAACTTGGATCTCAGTTTTCATCAAGTTATATATAAATATATACTTTAGTAAGTCCAGTCTCCTCCTATAGTTTTCAATTTTTAATACAAGTTTGCTTCGTCATTATAAAGCAATAGTCTACCAAAATTTTAAAAGCTGAATGTTAGCCTGTTAAAAGAGGAATAACTCCCCCCCCCCCTTTTAAACCGATAAAAGTCAGTTGAAAAAAAAAAAGAAACAAAAAGAAATACTAGAAACTAATAAGGAAGTGCCTGTAAATTTATTTAAAAGGAGATTTGTATACAAAATAAAAATAACCTTGCTAAATTTTTTAGGATTAACTAATACACTGCATAAAAATGCAAAAGTTTTAAAATCAGTAAAACGGAAGTGCGTGGTACATAACATATATAACCTCGAGGATAAATAAATTTTTAAAAAGGTGTTTTATAAAACAGTATTTTTATGCAGGTGAAACAAGCCTTAATATACTCATGCCAAAAATTTTAAAATATCTGCAACGGCTCTGCAATTAACCCCAGAATCTAATATTCAAAAATGTATTCCAACTCTCAATATCATTAATTTTGAGAGATATTACGTAAGTGCTTATTTTTTAAAATAACTCAAAACTTTTTATCTCTAAAAGAAAGCCCAGAATGAAAGGCTAACTTCTTGATCTTCTAACGTTTTAAGCTTCACAATGTTAAGATTTTAATCACCTTACAACACGAATGTAAAATTTAAACAGTTAGGGTAAATATTTATTTTTCTGGTAATTTTTATATTAATTGCATTAATATATATTATAGTATATATTTATGTTTTGTTAAAACATGTGTGACTCGTCTTCTTTTTTTGTTTTACTCTTTTTTTCTTTTCTAATTTTCACTACGTCTTTGTATACGTGGGTCTAGGGGACCAGAGCTATTATAAAGGTAATAGTTTCAGTTTAGAGGGTGGGAACAAAGACTGAAAGTTTAAAGGGCGTTTTAATCGAAGTTAATAATTAACTTATTAGTCTAGAGAACAACTAAGTAAATATTTAGTTTAGTTTTAGTAAATTTTTAACACAGTTAAGAAAACCTCAATTTAAACAGTCTAATTCGTAACGTTTTCTGTTAAAGCAAAAAGCCAAAAAAATTAGTTTCTTTTTGGACAATTTCTTGATGTGCGTTGCAAGGCAAGAGGGATTACAGGTGATAACGATATTACATCTAGAGCGAGATAAAAAAATTTCACATTATTGCAGTGCAATATCACTCTATACTTTACATAGGACAAGTTATACTTTCAACTTTCTAAGTATATTTTTAACGCCATAATATTTTGTCGCTAAAAATACATTTGAAACACGTAGCATACCTATATCCATCCTAATGCGTAGAATTACGTATTATATAATATAAAAAATGACATTTAACCTTTGACTAATTTTTAAAGCAAACTAAGTATCAGGCTCTGGAGGTTTTCAGGCTATTTTTTATTTAATTATTTTTTTACTGACATACTACTGCCGATATAGCACCTCATTACTGTTTAATCCTTATTCCCCTATAAAATTGTAAGAGGTAAAGAAGGATCCTGGCCCCTCAAAAAGACGTCATATTCAATTTGGGTACAGCCCATGGGCAAGTTATAAGAAGTAATAAGTACACAAAAACAAAACAAAAGAAAAAAGGATTTTATTATCAAGAATAATTAGAATAAAATATGATGAGTAAAAAAGATTTAGTATATAATAATATTATTATTAAAATAATTCAAGTGAAAATATATTAATATATTATAATACGCTGTTTCTCTTATATTTATTAACTGAATTGTAATTATACTTATATCGGTTAAGCGTATCGAATAATAGTTTATAAGTATTCCGTCCCTATTATATATGAATTATTTATTATTAAAAGATAATAATTAAGTGTAAATCAAACTATATTAAAAATGATAAACAAATAATTAGGGTGGTAAATCCGGGCTCAAAAGAAGTGATTTTAAGATGTGTTTAGGTCTTTCATATCTGTTATATCGGTAACAGCGACGGCTAATAAACTATTAGTATTTTCACTGTATTCGTTATAGCATTTAGTCGCAATTTGTAAGAACAAAGTCTAGAGGGTTTTCCTTTGGCAGTCACGGTGTAACTGAGCATTACGTATGAACTATGGAGCATCTGTAATTATTTAGAGGAGTTGGTTTCGAAAATCCACAGTCTATTAATATGGCGTTTGGAGTAGGATCAGCGAACGGGAGCATACACCACAATTGGGTAAAAAGGGGATTTATAAAAAAGAAGCTTGTGTTTAAGGTGAAGTTAGCTACTTCTACATATTAATGGATATAGGACATCCTTGGCAGCGTAATTTTTCTCAGGAAAAACTCAACATGAGCGTTCCAAGTTAATTTATAATCTATAATAACTCCTATGTACTTAACACGAGAGCTCCACGGAATATTCAGACTATTAGGGCTCAATACCTTAATAAAAAAATTTTTTTTTCTGCTATAATAACGGAATCTAACTTTTTAGCGCGGTGGGGTTCTAATGCAGATATGGCGTGGGTATCCACATTTTTTGTCTATAAACAAACTAGTAGTATTTTTCAAGCTTTAAGAGGTCACAAAGAATGTTTAAGGAACCCCTGCTAGGCCATTATTAGCTCAATAAGAATTCCATTCATTGCCTGATATGGCCTTGTAGCTATAATCGTTAAAGTATATGTTGATCTATCACATATTAGCTTAACAAGTTTTGACTTGGCTTTTACTTCTTCGGTAGCATGTATATTTGTTACATTAACTGACAATCATCAATTATATGAAAAAGAAGCCCCGAGAGCATGAGAAAATTAGGCGGATACTCACTGTTAATATTAAGGGCAAGAAAAGTTGGAATAATACTTGTTTAAATAAAGTTTCTCAATTCAAATATATTTCGGAAAACTAGTTAACAAAGTATTTACTTAGTTGTCCTTTAGACCACTAAACTATTTATTAACTTCAACTGTAATGCCTTCTAAACGTTTAGTCTTTGTTCTAGCCCTCTTGACTAAAACTATTACCCTTATTATATCGCTGGTCCTCTAGATCAACGTAACACTGAAAACGCGGTAAAAAATGAAAAAGAAAGAAAAAGGAAGACAGAGCAGACAAAGGGAAAAGGGAAGAGTGTTTTATTAATAAATATAAATATATATACCATAGATTTTCTCTCAAATATTCCAATTTTAAATCCGTGCTGAAAGGTGATTAAAATTTAAACAATATTAAAAAACCGTTCCGGTTAATGCAAGGTTATCTACCATACCTTTTGCAAGAATCTAATGAAGTTATTCTACTAGATCATACCATGATCTCGAGTATTTTAGACAACTCAAACGAGATCACCTATTAAGCTTTGCTTAGACTTGCCAACCTTTCATTTCGTTTCCTTCGACTTTTTTTCATTTGGCGAAAAGCCATAGCAACTTTAGTTTGCTTTTTGAGTCCCTTATTAAAGCGAAAAGAGATGAATATCGTGTTTAGGTTAAGGACGCTTAATAGCGATGATGAAATGTTTGTTTTTTTTTAAATCAATAAAAAGCGGATCTAAGTATGGCACAGGTTTCCGATGATGACTAAATGGTTAACAGTTAAAGCATCAAGGTAGAATCCAAGCAAGCTGGCGACCAGAGATAACTGTTCTCCAATAAAAACCCTTTTTACCAGCCAGGTTTTAATAATTCCAATGGTGTTTACATACGGAGTTAAGTAAATTGAGTTTACTTTTTAGCCATAAAAGCCAATCCGGACTCTCCATATTTTGGCAACTTTGTATAATTCTGCATTCTCTATTAGAAAAAACTTACAGTTAAGTGTAATTAAATAAGGAAAACAAGCTTATTATATTTTGAATAAATCTAGACCTACTCTTCATAGGCGAATATTAGTTTGTAACTTTCAACATAGCCTTTTAAGACATTTACAATAGCGTTATGATGTAACAAAAAATTTTACAAACACCATAAGGGAGCCAAGACGTTTCAAGCCTAATATAGCTGCAATAAAAAACCTTTTTATACGACCTATATGGCTTTTAAGAAAGTCCAAAAGCCACTTTATAGAGGACGTGTTAGAAAAAGTACATAAAAAAAGTACGATCTAGACGTTATTAGAAACAGAGCTCTCCTGCTCGTGCTAGTAATACTGGGGCTAAATCCATGTTTATAATAGCTTACAAACAACATATTAATTTAACAAAAAGTTTATTAAAAACAAATAACTGGTTAATTGACTGTTTAATTGATACTAGAACTTATCGGATTAGTAAAAGAGTTCGTTTATTCCAAATTCTTAAAGTTTTACTGCCTTGAAACACGCAAAATTATAGTTTTTATAAAAATTATAGATATAGCTTTTTATTAACATTAAAAAGTATGTGCATTAAGATTTTCCGTAACTGTTTAACAGCATTAACTTGCACACTAGATTTTAATAAAATTATACGAGTGGAAGACTTCAAATTTATAAAATCGTTAAGAGTAAGATGTAGTTGTAAAAATAAAGAGATAAACAATTCTTATAAACGAATTCATCAGATAGCTAGGACTATATAACCATCGTTCCCAGTAACCCTTAAGGTTAAGCTAAAATATATAATTAAGTCTCCGAGGACTATAAAAGTGATTTATTTTACTAAAAAAAAAGTTTTATTGATTGTGTGGGTGAAAAAGGTTTGAGCTGTTAAACAATTTTTACCTTGTATAGTTCTATAAAGAATCTGAAATGGATATTACTTATTTTTATTTTTTCTTATAAAAAAGCTTATAGCAAATATTTTTAAACGAAACCTTAATTTGTATTAAACTACTTTACTTAAAATTTAAATGTACTAATATTAATACTTAGGGTTTATCAGGGTTTTCCTTTTACATTTCCATATTTGGCTTAAGCATTTCGCGTATGCATACATAAAGAACTTAATAAAAAGATTATTTCACTGTTTACATACACAATTGTGTTGCTCTCTTTGTGTTATGTTTTAAACTTTTTAGTGTTTATGAAAAACTTTGAGAAATATCAATGTCAAAACTAGAAATATGTGACGTTTGTAAAACTTCCATCGATCTTCATAAGAGTATTTGTGTTAAAGCTAACGGTAAAAATTATCACAAGGTTCCTTCATGTATTTAAATTATGCGTGTTATAAGAATGTTTTATTATTCAAATAAATAAGGAGTGCCATATTTGTGTTCAGTGTTTTCGGCCATTTGCAAAAAATAATCTTATTTTTCCATATGAAGGAAGGTACTATACTTATTGCTTTTATACCACTTTTAATCTTATTGGCTTTATATATTGCTCATCTTCAAGGTATAATGAAAATGTATTAGCAATTCTTTCTTAAATCATGATTTTAAAAAAGCTGATTAATATATCTATTATGAAGTTTTTTTATTTGTAAAAACTCCAATACATTTTATTTATTTAGTACCTCGTTTCTTTTAAGTAAATCTTTTTTACTACAAATAATTTAAAAAAATAATTTATCTAACTTGAGTTTAATTTTTTAAGTATTTCTTTTAATTATTGATTAGATCTTACTGTGAATATGATTTCTGGCAGCTATACGGCCCGAGATGCGGTTACTGCTTTGAAAATATAGTGGGAGAGTATTTTTTTTAATCCTTTTTTTTTAAAGAAAAAATTTAATTTACTACATCTTTCTTAACAAGAGCTTTTTCAGCTGCAGGAAAAACTTGGCATGTTGAACATTTTCTTTGTGAGGCATGACTCTTTTGATTGCTTTTAAAATTTTTTAGCTAGTTTCAAAAAAAAATTTATTTTACTTTATTAAATTTTTTTTTCCACTAAATCATAAAAATATTAATTTTTCCTAATAACTTATATTTCTATTAATATCGACTCCTTTATTTAAATTCTTATTAAATATATTTTCTATAAAGTCATTAATTTAAATATGTCAAAATCTACTTACTATGAACTCTTGCAAAAATTAATGTTTTCTTTCAATTTATTCTTATTAAATTTTAGTTTTATTAAATATTCTAATAATAGTAATAGTAAAAGTAATAATAATGATAACAGTAATAATAGTAATTTAGTATTATCTTTTCAAATGCATACCAATTAAATATAAGGAATTTAAGAGTTGAACTTAATTACAAAAGATCTCTCTAGTTTAAATTTTATATAGAATTTTTTATTTTATTATTATTTAAATTTCTTCATATAACATGATTTTGTGGTATCTACTTACGGAGAAAATTCGTAAAAAAACTATTACAATTTCTAATTTTATTTATATTATTATGTATTTCCTCTAATTTTTTTTGTTTCAACATTATGAGTTATTTTTAATAAACCTGATTAATGTAGCCGTGTTGAAATCTACTTTTTGATAACTCTTGCGAAACTTTTCTTAAATTTACTTTTTTTATAATTATTATTTTAATAGTAAATATATTTTAAAACTATTCTTTATCTCAGTATTATTACTTAAGTTTTTTTAAATAACCTGATTAATTTAGTTATATGAAAATCTACTTACCGGGATTCTTGTACAAAACTAACTTTTATGAAAGATTACTTCTAATTTCTTTTTATGAAAATTTTCAAATATTTTTAAATTTATTTATCATGAAATCTGATTAATTTAGTTGTGTGAAAAGCCACTTACCGGAAATTCTTTTGCAAAGAAATCGTCGACGCCCATGTGCGACACGTGTTTTAAAAATCTCAAGAAAAAAACGGTTTATTTAACAAAATAATGAAAATATAATATAATATTTATAAAAATAGTAAATATTTTTTTTCACTTGTAATTAATTAATTCATAAAATAATTAAAACTGATTCTGCCATTTATAATTTATTTTTATTGTAATATAATAAATAAAGTAAGTAAAAAAATATTAATAACTTCAGTATTTTATTTTTATATAAATATATTTATTATAAAAATGTATAATTAAGTTTATATATAATTTAAGCAAATTTCGAAAAATACATTAATATTATTATTTTAATTTAAAATAAAAATAATAAAAAATATTAATAAATCCTATATATTATTTTTATCTAAAATATTTTTTTAATGTAGAGTATAATTAAATTCATTTTTAAATTTTAATTATAAGATTTTATAATTTTAATAATTTTAAAAATAAATTAATATGATCATTATTAACTTAACATAATAAAGGAGACATATCAATAACTTCAGTGTATTATTTTAATTTAATTATAAATTACAATTAATAAATTTTACTTTAAAAGTATTTTTAACTATAATTTACATTTTTTAAAAAATAAATATAATTATTAATTAGCATAATATCGAAGAAATTTGAATAACTTCAGTGGATTATGTTTATTTTGCAATTTTAAATTAAATAATGTACAAATAAATTTATTTTAAAAAGATAAATGTATCATTTTCAGTTAATGTTTATTTAAATTTATTTTAAGTTTTATAATAATTTAAATTTAAAGTGACAGAAAAACTTTAATTTCAGAGAATATTTAATTTTTAAAAATAATTAAATTTTATTATTTTTAGCTTAACATAAAAAGTATAGTTATAGTAGACATATTAAGTAAAGCATATTATTTTTATATGAAATTGTTAAATTTAAATTAAATTTTGGTTGAATTTTATTAATAAAAATAGAAAATTTACTAGTAAATTTAGGTTTATTCTTTTTTAAAAAATATAATAATTTTTTATATTAAAACTAAATATAAGTAAATATATTTTCTGAATTGTAGTTTTAAATTAATTTTAATTTTTTTTTAAAAACTTTTCAAGAGTTAGTTACCACCTCGTTAATAATAAATTTAAAAGTTTTTTAAAGGAGTTACTATATTAAAAAAAAATTTAAAAAGGTATTTAATGCTCTAATTAACTTAGTTAATTTCTTGTTAGCTATAAGTGATTTTTAATAAATTTATTTTTTTTTAAAATAATTTAAAATTATATTCCATTATTATTAAATTCTATGCAAGTTATATTTAAAAAAATATAAACATAAGATTAAAATTAAAAACAGTCATATTATTTAAACTAAAGAATATTTTTAAAAAATCTCTTAAAGCAATTTTTTTTTCTGTCCGTTTATTATTATATAATAGTAGTTTATAAGTACTTTTATTAAAAGAATCTAATTCACTTGCAAATTTTATAAATCTAAAAGATTTTAAAAATTATAGAACAAAATTGTTCAAACATTTTTCATATAATTATTTAATTTAAAAATTAAAATTTTAAATGCCAAGTATTGATTATTATAAAAATCTACACTTCAGGAGAAAACTCGATACTGCCATAAATGCCAAGAGCCGCTGGATCTCGAGTTCATTGTTATACGTGGACTCCGCTATCACCCAAAACATTTTCTCTGGTTTGCATAAATTGCGTCAAAATTTATAAATTAATTATTCATTAATTTTTACCAAATTAAATTTTTTGTAATTTAATTATAAATTAATTTTATTAAGAAATTTTATTGTTTTTAAAAAATTTATTATTCAAACTGTTTTAGTTTTTATATAACATTTTTCGTATATAAAGTTCATATTATATTTGATTTAAATTATTATTTAGTTGATAAATTAGTATTACTTTATTAGATTTTATATCTTAAACTAAAATATTAACTAATCTATTTTTCTATTTTGTTAATAACAACATTTTTTAATTTTAAATTTTTACATTAAAATATTGTTATTAAAAACTTGATTGACCCATTTAAATTTCCTTTTTAAATTTTCTAAAAAATAATGTGCTTGTAAAAATTACTATTTATATAGCTATAAATATTTTTTAGTTTTTAAATTAATTATATATTTTTTAATTTAAAAATTACAAAATAGTTGTTAATTTAAATTTGTATATTTCTGTTTTTAACTAAATTTTTTTTTATATCACAAATTTATAAATTCCCGTAATACAAAATTAATAAATTAATATCAATTTTTTTATATTTTCTTATGCATAGATGTAATTTATTAGAAGAATTTTTATAAATATTATAAAAGATGTTAATAATTACATGTATTTGTTTAATTTTATTTTTCTGAATTTTTTAATTTACTTTTTTATAATTATTCATTCATAATTTACAATTAATAATAAAGTAAAGAAAAAGTTTGTTTTCAAATTTTTCTATTATATAAATTTTTTTAATTATTACTGTAAACAATTTTTTTTTCGTTTTTCTATAATTCCTACTTTTTGAATTAAATTTAAAAACACTAATTGTCTAAATTTAAAAGCTTACATATAAAATTTTATATTAAAATTAAATTGTTTATAATAGTAAAATTTTTAGTATTTATTCTTTTAATCATAAATTTACTAAAATTTTTCGTTTTAGAATTTTATAGTTAGAAAACTTTTTTTTAAACTTATTTAATGTTTAACTTTATTATTGAAATATATATATATATATATATATATAATAATAAATTTTAATTTACATTGCTTTTAAAAAATTTAATTTTCATTTATAGATAAAAAAAAATTAGATTTTCATGAAAACTTATAAGTTTACTGTATTTCTTTGCTAAATAATTTCTTTCAGATCTGAAATTTTTAAGTTTATAATTAAGAATTTAATTTTTTTTTCCTTTTTCTCTAAAAAAAATTTATCCATTTAAAAATTTTTTGGCAGCCTTTTATAAGGGAACGACCAATTATATGCTTTATAAATTACTGCCTTAAAAAGTAGTGCAAATTATATTTATTGGTTATCTGGAACTTATAGTGGATTACAATTTACGCAGTCTTATTTGAGCCCAAGAATTAGTCATTTTCTAAAAGATTTTGGCACTTACTAATTACGAAAAATAACTTTTAATGTGATTATTACAAAGACTTTTTAATGGTCAATTTTTGGAAAAAAATTTATCAATTGAAAAGTTTTATGTGAATTTACGGTTATTAGCATAAAATTACTTAAATAAACTGATCATGTAAATTTTAATGATATAATTTTAGTTTCTATTTATATATTTATAAATATATTTATTTAATTTATTATTATATATTACAAAATATATATTTCTTTTTTACACTAACATAAAAATAGAAAAATAATAAGTTCTAACATATGGAAGTAACATCAAAAAATAACCAGTAAAATATTCTATTATTATTATCTTAGCGCCGCACCTGATTGCAAGCGCGTGCTCGACCACTCGGCACAGGAGAAGGATAATCTGCTATACTGCAAAAGTTGTTATCACAAAGTAGTCGACCAATCCACGCAGGCATACCTAACACGTGCTTTCTCACGCGTGTTTTGCATTAGATCACAGTGCTTCCCACATGTGCTGCCTGCCGGCGGGTTATCGAGGGCCCCTCGCGGTCGGCGCTGGGAAAACACTGGCACCCCGAGCATCTCGTTTGCAAAAAGTGCGACATGCCGTTGTTGGGTATGTTTGTTCGTTTTTATTAGAGGGCGAGTAGAATATAAAAATAGTGATCCAAAGGAATGCTTGTGTACGAGCACAAAGGGAACGCCTACTGTTTGACTCACTTCACTGAGGTATTTTCTCTTATTCTATTGGTTGATCAAGATACATTACTTTTTTCTCATTGGGCTTCATTACCATGTAAAGGTAGCTGGAGACGTCTGCTCTTTTTGCCTTGCACCAATCATGACCCATAAAAAAATAAAAGCTCTCGATAAGTATTGGTGTAAAGACCACTTCACATGTTTCGCATGCGATAAAGTGCATTATATCATATTATATTTTATATATTATTATTATTATCTACTTTCAAGCCTTTAGAAAAGTTTTTCGGAGTCGATTTTCGGTTGTACTGTGAAGAGTGCTTCCTCGAATTACCTGATAAAGTCCGGAAGCAACTGGACCAGTTGGAAGCTTTAGAAAAAAAATATCAAAAACAAAAAAAGAAATCTCGAGCAAAATATTATGAAAAGTACGGCCTTGAGAAATAAGAAAGTTGAAAACTTTTTTACAAAATTCAATATTTATTTTATAATAAAAAAAGTTTTTCTGTATTTTTATAATATTAATTTATTTATTTATATAAACATCTACTTCCTGTTTTGCCTAAGCTGGGAAAAATTAATATGCTTAACAAAGTTAATTTATAAGCCCACGACCTGCATTATAATTTTCTTAACTTTATAGTTTTCTTAAAATACGATTCTTGGCTACTTCTAAAAAGATCCTTAAATTTTTATTTCACAAACTGCTGAATTGGCACATTATAATTATACTATCTTATATGGTTTAACTTTTTAAGTAAATAAAATGACTGCTTGCGTAGTAAGCCCAAGGGAAAGCCTCAAACAATTAAGGCTTTAGAAATAAAATTTTAAATAAAAGAATTAAAAAATAAAAGTCTTAACCAATTTTTATTTTTAAGCTAGTTTCTGTTTTTCCTTACTTTAAGCAATATAAACCTGAATGTTAAAAATCTTTATAACAACAAATATATAAAAATAAAAACAGTTAATTTTTGAAAAAAACTGAAAAGAGATCCAATAAACTAAATACTAAACGCAAGTTAATTCTCTATTTTACAGTTTCGTTATTCAATGAGAGTGCAGCCTTAGCTAAAAAAATATATAATAAAAGTGCAGGGTACACTCATAGAAAGAGAAATACACCATCCCTTTTTACAATAAACTTTTTAAAAAAAAGCTTTCTTTAAGTAAAGGTATAGTTATATTTAAATATCCCCCTAATAAATAAGTTATCAAAAAAAATTAGTAAAGAGTGCTAAGCGGGGATGGTGGCGAAACTAAAAGGTCCCCTTCAAATTCTATTGAAGAAGACAAGAGGAGTCTATCAAAATATAAGAACAGAAGTAAGCAGCTCGCACTAATTATATAGTTTCATAAACTATGTACAAAATAAGGTAGCGAAAAGGTCTCAGTATAAAAACAATGCTGTATTTATAATTTACATAATTTAAAAAAAAAACGTAATGAAAAACGTAAATAAAGATAAGTTTTCCTAAAGCGGAAAAAGAAAAAGGAAGCAGAAAAATAAAAATTAAATATAATTAATGTCACGTGTTTCCACATATTCTTCCTTACTGCCAAGCATGATGTAACCTGCAAATCCCGCTTTCTCGAATGCTTGCCTAATAATAAACCTTTTTTCTTTTGATGTTTTTTTTTTTCAAAAGGTGTACAAATCCCACAGAAAGTTTTGCACTTATTTTATTCTTTTCTCTAGCATGGAACACATGAAAAAAAAAACTAAATGAGTAGATTTATTTATAACATTGACATTCTAAGTTTGGAGGGGTTTGCTGTAATTTCATATAGGTAAATAAAAATCTCTCGTGTCTGCTTAGTAAAGTACAAGACAACAATCATAACTAGATTTTTTGTTATTCTGACTGTCTTTTAATTCAAAGTTAAAAATCGTTATTGTTTTTTTGAGTGATGAAACTATCAAATTTTTAGCCTGTTCAAAAGTGTTTACTTTCTTCATAACTAAAGACATGTATGACTACGTGTTTGCCTTATAATTAAACTGTATTTTGTTACCTATTTTAAAATATGTTTTTATTATTAATACTTGTTTTTATTACCTTTATTTAAGCTTTACTGTAAAAACCTGTTAGTTCTTTTCTTCTAAAAAAGTGATGTGGTCAAAAAAATAGTGGAACCGCCAAGGAAACCACATAAAAATTAAAGTAAATTAAGGGCGAACATTGTTAGGGTATTTAAACCTTTACCGACCGGTACCTAAACCTTTAAGCCATTTGAAATTAATTGTAAACAAATGTATATATATATATAAAGAAAGAGAGAGATGTGCAGATGTGACTAAAGCAAAAAAGCAATAAAAAGTTATCATTACTGCCAGTTTATTTTTCGTGGACTTCATGATCTACTAACCACTAAGCAAAAAATGATCAATAATAATCATAAATTGGCCTAAAATGGTAATTTGTGTTAGTACTTATGGACTGGGATCCTTACCTCAACAAACGTAAGCATTTCCGGGTGACTGAGAACAAATGTTAGTCTGTTGTAAAATAATATATATATAAAAGATAGCCTCCCTAAAAATAATTATTACTTAGAAAAGTTTTAACAATTTTTGTTATAATTTAGAGGATAGCTTTTACTTTATTTTCTAGAGGCTCTCACCTTTAAACCAGCAGGAAGTCTGTCGGACTACAAATAGTTGGGTATATCTCTAGTATTTTTTCATCGATTGGTTTGCAACTTTATTAAAACTATGGGAACAATATGAAGCAGAGGACAAAAAATTTACACTATTTAAATTTTTTAATGTGACCAAAAGTTAATAATTATATTTTAAAACGACTCCTTACCGTAAGCACAGAAACTCACTTAAAAATTAAAAATAAAAATGCATTCTTGCGTTTCTTTAGTGATACAACTATGAGAATTATTTTTGTTTGAATTGAATAATAATGCGCCTGTATTGATTTTTAAAACTAGTCATGTTTATTTATTTATTTAAGATTATTGTAAGGCATTTTTAATAACAAGTAATAAAGGAATGGGAAAACAAAAATTTTTTTCTTTATTGCTTTGTACTATGCTTTAGAGATGCTGTCAAGGAATGTGCTGTTATAAGTATATTTACGTGCCCCAGAACAGTTTAACAATATTGTCAAACCTAATCTAACTTAGCTTTTAATAAAATTCAAAATCGCAAGATTTCTTTTTCTTTTTAGTGGACACCTCTTTTTACTATGTCCAAATAGCTTAATGACAGCAAAAACGTAAGTTATAATAGCTTCTGCAAAGAATGTTATTAGCCTCTTCGTTGTATATATTTTTACAGGAAGCTAAAATGTTATTCTCTTAGGCCCAAAGATGTCATTATTGTTTTCGAGATATATATAAAAGGAATCTGAATTTTTCTTGTCGCTTTTATTTTAAAATACTTTACCAAACTAATTTATTCATGTAATCCTTACTAACACAGTCATCATATACTTTTTTTTAGCTTTTAGCTCTGTAATATATTAATTCCTAACCTTCCCAAAGTCGGTCCTCCAGATTATTTTTTATTTTTAAAAAAGGTATCCCTAAGTAATGTTTTCCTTGCATACTTTATGTATTTAAAAACATTTAAAAAATATATATAAATAATAAAGATTTTTTTATTAAAGACTCTTCTATAACATGAAATTTCTTACATCACTTCGATAACCGAAAGTACTGCAAACTTTCTAGTAATATAATAAGAAATTTTATCTATAATAATTAACTTGCTTTTTATATCCTTCAAATGTGACTTTTTAAAAATAACTTTTGCCCTAAACAAAACAGATTTTATTACATCGGACGTACATTTATTAGATAGCTATAAAATTAATTAATGCGCCCATCTCCTTAAAGCTACTACAAAAACATTGAAATTCAGTAATCTTAAAAGTGATTAATTTTAATCGTTAAAATATAATTAGCATTCTCTTACAAACTATAAACATAATATATATGTCATTTATAGCTTTGAATATTCATAAGGGTACGTATTACAACTTTATATCTCTAATTTCTTAAGTTTTTAGATTATATTTAAAGCTACAGTCTCCTTCAATACTACACACCAAAAACTCATTTTTCTTTTATAGTAAATATCAAGAAAATTTAAATTATTTATTAATTATGCCTTTTTTCTTACGGTTAAAATATTATAAAAGGCTTCACAATTGTTTGAAGGATTGTTGGTCCGCTCTCATGCTCTCGATGGGTTTCTAGTTCTGTTTTGTTTGTACAATAAAAGTTTAACACTATGCTATAATTTAGATTTTTTCGTCTTATGCTTCCTATTGGCATTACGACTCGAGTTTTATACCGTCGCAGGTAAACAACTGCACTTTACACTGCACTTCTGACAAGAAATTAACAGCTTTTAAATTGATAGGGGCCATTCCCTTTGAAATTTTTAAATCTCCATTAGAAAAAGCGAAGATTGTATTAGAAGAAAATATTTTTAAAGAAGTAAACAAGTCCATCGATGCATATCAATATAAATATGTTAGTTTTATCTACTCGAATGAATCTAAGGAAAAGGTGTGCTCCGCCACCATAGAGGATAGCCTAGCCCATTCCTTTTTAAAAAATGCCTGGGATAGAAAAGAGGTCACTGAGACTATTGACCCATGCGGTCTTTCAGATATCACAATGCTAGATTCTGATGATATTGAAGTTCCCAACTTTACTTTCGATATTAAACCTCTATCATGTAAACATGTAGGTCTTTCTAGCCCAAATACTTATTGGTATACGCAGAAATCAATTTTTTATAGGGACACAAAATATCACCTCTATACTTCCATGTTCCTAACTAATAAAAGTCTAGATTTTACGAAGCAAACCCAAATAGATATACCTTATACAAAAATTATACAAATTGCTGAAAAGATTGATTTTGATACTATTTATAAACAGTACATCGATGATTACTGGAAAAAAAATATTATCAATTATTCTAAATACTTGCGCCTGTCATTTGTACAGAGTATAATCTACCAACTCAAGGAAGGCAGTTTAAGTGAGAAGGCTGCATCTTTAGCGCTTCATGCCGCATATGGAAGCGGAAACCTCGAAATTTACTTTTTAGGACTTTTAAAATATACTTTTTTTAATTTAAGCAAAATTGTCTATGCCACTAATATAGTATGCATAATAAACACTACCGACCGGCATATGCTTCTATATGTTGGTGGGAACTCTTCACCTATACATGAGTTTTCCAATATGACTGAAATGAAAGCATGGTTTATAAAGCAAAGCAAAAACGAAAGTAAGAGACGTATGCTGCTGTCCCAATTCATGCTCTCGGATGTACAAGCTACAACGTGGTACTACGACCTTGAGTATACATTAAAGAAAATTTCCTCTTATGATCCTGTTAATAATACTGATGTTATATTTAAACTTGAAGGTCCCTATCCTTCCGGATGTATTCTTTTTGACACCATGTCTTC